CACGACCCCACTTGAATTGAAAGCTCCCTTCAATCTGGCTGATCGAAATCGTATGCTGCGGTACCTTTAATAGTGGTGTGCGAAGTCATGCTGCGACCATCGGGACCGTGCAGGGAGACTCTAGAGTTCGGTGTATCAGGCTTAATCAACCCTGAATAATCCTGAAAATTTGTGAAAAACAGGAACGTAGATAAGTGTCTCAATGAGCAGAGGTGTTCGCCAATTGATCAACGCAAATCTTAGTGCGAGCAGACGAAACAATTCACCTTGGGCCGGAATGAACCATCGTGCAATGGCTGCTAAATATGCAAAGTACAGCAATACAACTTTTCAATCTCTAGTTCGCACAAGGCAGAGCTTTGAGACCAAACAAATCAATCACAAACTTCCCGGTTGACCGATCTGGTATATCTTATCTGAGAATACTGCAGAGCCGATCAGCTAAGAAGAAACAACTGCATCTAGTTAGGTAAAACTGAGGCAACCCATAGATGACATGATGTAAAGAAATGAGGAAATGTAGCAAAAGATGGAGCAGGTATGGCTCGCGTTATCTACTAGGAAAGGCCATCGCAGCCGGCCACACCAATATTAGGAAACCTTACCTAATGAGTAAGCTGAATACTTGCACTCGTTTCCTTGCCTTTAGCCCTTACGTACTATATGTGTCGGTCCCAATTATTTTAAATATTCTATCCCCCACTAATTTACTGATTACAAGGCAGAGAAACTGCATAGACAGCGCACTGCTGCATGGAATGCGGCCGCCATAGAGGAATCAGTTTGATCTCCATCGCCTCCAAATTGCTTGCCTCTGCCATCCTTCACAGACTGACTGGCACTCGTGAAAACCAGATTCGTGAAGTACAAGCCGGATTTCGTCGAAGTCGTGGCTGCATTGACCACATCTTCACTTTGCGTCAGTTGTTGGAGCACCGTAACACATATTGGCGGCCCACCCTCGTCGTATTCCTCGATATCAAAGGTGCATTCCATTCGGTGGATAGACATGCACTTTTGGACTGTCTACTCAGGAAAGTTGTGCCCGAGGAATATGTAAACATTATCCGAGCATTATATGCGCGTAGCTCGGGCAGAGTGAGGGCTCACGGCAAGCTGTCGTCGCCCATTAATATCTCCAGCTGTGTGAGACAAGGGTGCCCACTGTCACCTTACCTCTTCAACTTCGCTATTGATGAAGTCATGGAAATCGCGTTCACAGGACACGACTTTGAAGGTGTGGATCTGCTCCCAGGAGAGCGAGTTCTTGTCTTAGAGTATGCTGATGATATTGCCCTGATCTGTGACAGGTCACAAACGTGCCAAGCGGCATTGGACAGATTAGCACTGACCGTCAGCCGCTTCGGACTTTGCTTCGCACCCTCAAAATGCAAAACGTTCCTCCAAGATTGGTCTGGACCGCCTCCTATACTAGCCCTTGGTGGTGATCATCTAGAAGTCGTTAAAAAATTTAACTACCTGGGAAGTTGTATCAGCGCCCTTGGGATTGAAGATGAGATCACGAACCGTATAGCAAAAGCTCGAGGCGCTTTTGCTAAACTTCGCCACTTATGACGCCGGCGCAACACCACCTTTGCGCTGAAGGGTAGAGTGTACAATGCAGCGGTACCTACGATCCTGCTGTACGGTTGTGAGACCTGGCCCCTTAAAGCAGCGGACCTGAAGAGGCTAGTTACGTTCGACCACTGGTGCCTTCGCAATTTAGCTCACATCTGGTGGGAACACCGAGTTAGCAACGAGCGTGTTTGACGCCTTGTTTGCGGCACAAGAAAAGGAAATGAACCGCTCAGTACAGTCATTTCATGCACCAGGCTCCGATAGCTCGGTCACATGTTACGCATGCCAGCCCAACGACTCCCGCGACGTGCGTTGTTTGCGCGCCGAGGGTGTGGATGGAAGAGGAGGGGTGGCCAAGCGATGACTTGGTCTAAAGGAATGAAGGCCCTCACTTCTGAGCTGGTCTCGCTGGGATCGTGTCGGCTCCCTGGTTGAGGTCCGAAAGACGATGAACACGTTTGGTTGGATATACTTGCTGATATGGCTAGGAGCCGACCTCAGTGGCGTTCGTGCTGTGAGTTACTTTGTCTCACCCCACCCCCTCCAACTACGATCTCATTATTTAGCCTTACATAATTTTGCATGGTAATTTTTTGTTTAATGCACAGCAGCCGGCTGGTAGCTTATCGAAACGATGCCCATCCGTTACCGGTAGCTCAGCCGGCTTGCACCAGTTGCACATTTTATTCTGTTTTTTCTTCTATGTATTGCGGCACAGTGGCTGTTTCCCACTAGCTAACGTGTAGATGATGATGCACCGATAATAAATGAACGATGAAATTGACCCAATGAGCGAAATGTATCAAGCGGGAGGCGTTTCTTTAGAAATTTCATGCAGGCATTCCCCTTCACGAATTTCAAACAGATGTGATAGAATAGGGATTGAAGCTCAGTTTGAGCATCTGTACGAACAACTGTCCAGTTTAACACCGGTCAGCGAGGACGCAAGCGGCTGGTTTAGAGCTAAAATGGTAGATTTGGCTAACCAATTCTGTGTCAGTGAAACTGAAAAGTGCAGAATCCTTACGAAGGATCATTGGGAATCCTTGAAGCAACTGCGGCGAAATGAAAATCTCGTAATACTGCGACCAGACAAGGGATCAGGAGTTGTGATTTTGGAAAAGCAACTGTACATTCAGAAAGTCCAATCAATCCTTGCGGATTCTAGTCGTTTTGTTCAGGATGTAACAAACCGAGACAAAACTGAGCAGATAGAGAAGTTAATAGTCCGTGAATTGAAGAAGGTAGTGAAGGCCGGATTGGTGGATGCCAAAACTATGACTCAGTTACGCCCCCGGGGATCGCGACTTCCCCACTTGTATGGCTTACCGAAAACTCATAAGGAGGGTGTCCCAATACGTCCAATCGTCTCAATGGTAGATACACCATACCAAAAATTAGCGCGATGGCTAGCAAAACTTATTGAGCCCATCCGGAGGGAACTGACGAGCTACAGTCTAAGAGACACTTTTGAATTCGTCAACAAGATAAGTAATTTGAATGTAAAGGGAAAACACATGGTTTCTTTCGATGTATCATCATTGTTCACGAACGTACCTTTGGAAGAAACACTAGATATAATAGCCAAACACGCTGATAAAGTTGGGTTCCCAGCGCTCCAGCTAAAATCATTACTGCGCCTATGCACAAAAGATATTCAGTTCCGGTTCAATGGAACCCTGTATCGACAAATCGACGGCGTGGCCATGGGCAGCCCACTGGGCCCAGTTTTGGCTGATATCTTCCTCGGAAACTTGGAAAACACTGTGTTAGCTTCTTACCTACAAAATGTACACCTTTATTGCCGGTATGTAGACGACACATTCATCGTCGTTGACACACCTGAACAGGCGGCGCACTTACTGAAACTGATGAATATGTGCCATCCAGCCATCAAGTTCACAATGGAAAGCGAGTCCGACGGATCTTTCCACTTCCTAGATGTTAACTTACAGAGAAAGCCAGATGGTACACTCGTTCGATCTGTGTACAGAAAAGCAACATGGACGGGGCAATACTTGAATTTTAATAGCTTTTGCCCAATGAACTATAAACGAGCTCTAGTACGTACCACTTTTGCTAGAGCTCGCCAAATTTGCTCACTAGACACAATCGAACATGAACTAGAACGAGTCACCTTGACGCTACAAGAGAATGGGTATCCAGCGCGATTTATAACTCGACACGCAAAAGTACGATCCGGAGATAAAACACCAACCGATGTCCCAAAGAAAAGAGTATTCATTACACTGCCCTTCAAAGGAGATCAAGTTGACCGAAGATGCAGGCATCGCCTCCGTCAATCAACTGAGAAGTGTTACCATGCGGCTGAGCTAGTGGTATTGCATCAAGTCAGAAGGCTGCTCTGTAAATCCAACCTGGACAGACCAGACTCTCAAGTTACCGCCTCTTGCATTTACCTCTTTAATTGTACTTGCGGTAGCAAGTACGTAGGCCGAACTAAGAGAAGGCTGTCAGCGAGGATTGCAGAGCATGTTCCGCGAAACATAATTGCTAAGGGTCCGAAGCTACCAACTAGCTCTATTGCCCGCCACATCCTAGACTGCCCTGAATGCCAGAACCCACGTGGCAATTTCAGGGTAGTTAGTAAACAGGCTAATCCCCGTTTACTACAGTTTGCGGAGGCGGCAGCAATTCGGTGGCTGAAGCCACAGCTATGCAAGCAAACGGATTTCGTGACCACGCTAGCCCTACCCTGGTGAGGCTAGCGATTGCGTTTTCCTCGGAACAGGTCACGTGAGCCTAAAGACCTTCGACCGCTTTGAAATTTTGCTGTTAACATCGCACTGTTTTCCACTCATTGTATGTAAACAGCTGAGGAGAATACGCGAAATTACTGAATTCAGTAAATTCTGTTATAATGTTGTTTCTTCTTGCTTTATTGAAATTGACCCAAAGTAAAAATGCCGTCATTTAGAGGCTGTGCTCATGTTGAAAGGAAGCACGGTTTGTACATTTCCCCACGCCCATTCGTGATAAAACAAATGCCAGCATGTAAGTTTCAGAGGAAAAAGTGTGATAGTGTTTATCAGACCTGTGCGGAAAGGTGGCGATGTGCATAAAGTATTTTGAGCTGTAATTCCGAGGCGTGAACTATCAACGCCCTTGTTAATTAAGTATGGGACGAAGTGCCTGTACCGTCAAAAAGGAAAAACAGGCCTTAGATCTATAAGTACATTGCGAACGAAATCCGGCAAGCTAAACTTGCATAAAGCAAACAAACATGAGGGTAACTTTTCGCAAATATTTCATCAATTAATTAGAACGCCAAAGCATCAGGAACAAGATGCGCAGCAAACGGAAAGGAAAACAAGGAAATACTTGGGGGAAAGGAGAATGTAAATTTAACCCAGAATCTAAGGATGATACAGCAAAGCAAATATAAAAACGTAATTCCTCACCTAACTTCACTTCATAGGAGGAGGTAAGCAAAATGTTACCTGCTTTCATGTCACGGTGTATGATTAAATTTTTATGAAGAAAGTCTAATCCTGAAAGGACTTCACGGGAAACAAATCGGATTTGAAATTCAGTTAGCGGCTTGTCTAAAGAATTCATGATAGAATCCAGAGCTCCACCACCGCATAATTCCAAGAACATCTTATTCAGGGAATAATAAAAAATAAGATTACCCATAGTTTGTTGTCGTAGATATATACTTCCAAGAGAGAAAGTATGTTGTGATGCTTAAAATCAGTTAAAATATCAATCTCGACCATGAAGTCTTCCAGCTCCAACTCTGATTCAAACTCAACTTTTTTCAAAGCCGCTTGAACATCATCGCTTTTTCTCCTAGTCTAAAACGATGCAACAACGAAAACTCTACGTACCTTGAAGACTTTCCCAAATGCGCCATCCCCTAACTCGCTGAGTATATCCCATTTTTCGAAGGGATCAACTCCACGTTCAATCCCATCAAGTGAACTTTTTCTCTTTCCATCGTCTGGATTCTTAAGTTTTTTGAATAGCCCCTTGAGAAATGTCATCAACAACCGGCTCAAAGGTAAACGCAGAAAGGAGGCCTTGAACTAGGTCAAGTCAGGTAGAGCGCGAAGGGTATACAAACACAATCATGACCTTAAGAAATCAGCTTCCATGTATAAAAATTTTTGAAGTATGTACTTAAACCTGATGATATATTAAGTTCTATTGCGCAACAGCAAATTTACTCTAGCCATTGGTTTTTCAGTATTGTGTCGACTCAGGACAGGACAGAGTATTATCCAGTAAAGAAACCGTCTTTCATTGGTTCATTGGTTCATTGGTTAGTAGAGAGCAGAAGGAAGTTCCTTTGTCAGCTCCGTCACTTCCCGGACATTGCGAGGGTTGCTGGGATCATTGCGGAACAAGGTTCAGCAGAAGATCGCTATGGTTGTATTGTGGGCAGCAGAATCCCTGCGCACTCAGAGAGTGGGTATCCAACCGTCGTTTGAAACATTCCTCAGTCTCCGCATCGACGACAGCTTCTGGCAAGCTGTTCCAGTCATTCACTACCCGGGTGGATAGGGCCAGATCTGACCGTACACGGAGTCGCCGCGGTTTGAAAAGTTTCCACCGGTGGCCTCGAGTTGCACAACTTGTGTTTAGACAAAAGAACGATTGCAGCTCACTCCCCAGCTCACCTCGTAGAATACGCCGGGTGAATATCATATCTCCGCGGCGACGACGATAATCCAAAGAGAACAGGTTCAACCGTTGTAGCCGGAGGTGGTAGGATAAGTCCCGAAGCTCTGGAACGGATTTGGATCCACGCCGTTGAACCTTCTCGATCATGTCACGTTCGGACTTAGTGAGCGGGTACGCAGCAGGCAATCCGTACTCAAGAACTTC